TTCAAAAAAGAGTCTAGCGTCGTCTCCTAAAATCCCATACAGCGTAACGTGAACGTGATCGTGAACCGGGCCGCTGGCGATCATCGATTCAGAAGGAAATGGATCGTTAACGAGGGTCGTAACCGAGATTAAGATTAATTGGTAGAAAAGTCCGATGAACATTGACGGCCTATGATGATCCATAAACGAAAATGTTGTGATATATTGTTATTAATACTTGTTATTTTCTATGAGTGTGTTCTATAGATCGTTTCATACATAATGTCGAGCACTGTATCGAGGAGAATATCAGAATAATTAACTGACATGTTTGGAAAGAAGACTATGCGTTCGCAATGTATTGAATTATATATAGATAGCCCTATTCTGAAGATATTTAGAAGAATTAATTCGTGTAAAGTCTTACGTTGAACCAGAGTGTGAACAGTGATTAAAATTAGAAAGTAACCTGATGTGTAACAAAGAAAGTACTTAAATAATAAACAATATCATTTTGTGTAGCTCTTATATAGTTACTAAACATTGCTGAATACTAACGGCAAAGTAAATTTTACAATTTTAATTTGGTGACTTAAGTTTCAGATTAATTTAGGTAAATATTAAATACTAGATTTATTTTGTTTCAATTATTCTTTTAATATTGTTATTTATTTTTCGCGGCTTTTTATGAAACTTTGAAAAAATGAGGTTTTCACAAAAATATTGGAGATGTGTTTCTTATGGTATTGGCCATCATTTATATTGACACGACGAAGAAAGATATCACGATTGAGGTAAGAAACATATTTGGCTGAATATATTGGCAATTGTTGAATCCACAAAGAGTCTGTAAAGTGTTCACTTGTACAAATAAATTTCTCCAGTTTTTTAAATAATACATTTTTATATATTATATAAAATATATTATTTTTGAAATAATATAATATTGTATTATACATATTATCTGTGAATAACAAGGATATATCAGAAAACAAGATACGAATAAATTGAAACTTTCATTTCTACGTTGTAAAATAAGTTACTATAATTGAACTTTTCTTGCATTTTCTGCAAGACTGAGCCCGTAAATGCATACAATCAAATAAGCAATAAACTTTCACGAGATTTCAAGTAATCATGTTTTTTTAAGCTTCAATAGTTTCCAAGAGGCTCGACAAAGTATGTTTCTCACCCCAAAAACTGAGTGTCACTTTCACTTCTTCAATTAAAATAACAGCTGACAATAAAAATATGTGCTAATTATTATTATAAGAATCACTTTCTATTTGTATGTCTTCAAAATCAGCGAATGTCAGTACGTTCTCCTGTTAGAGAAAATTTACCAGAAATAATGATCGATCAATTAAATATTAATAACGTTAACAGCTATACTAATTATACATGAACGTCACAATTAGACTGAATATGTTACTGTGAAAATCAGCTTTTAAGGAAAATATCGAACTTCTTAGAGGTTGAACAAAATGCAAGAAACTTAAAAGAATTATCATTACAATGAATCGTAAATGCTACTTAGTAGTTATTCTTTTTCCCTATGTTAAAACTGTCAAACTAAATACTTATACATAATTTGCATGAAGCTAAAAATTGTTGTCATGTTAAGTACTTAAATTTTGAGAGATAATTTAGGATTACATACACGTTCAAAACATACTATTTGTAAATTGTTACGTGTTAAATGTATGCACGGAACGCGAGGTATCCCATCATCCGTTCACAATGTGTTATAAATAAAAGAAGTTTGCTTAAATCTCACAGGAAGCTTAACACACATACGACACATAAACCTCATCTGGACCTCACCCAGCAAAGTAGAAGGGAGCGTCGGTGCATATTCGAAAGGTCGTAAACGCTAATCGGAGCAGGCTAAGTTTTCATGGTGGGCGGAGTGAGAGGGAAACGCGCAGTTAGGGGGCACCGATAAATAAAGAGTGAACGACGGTGTTCACCGTTACCGAATGCAATTAGGTCGAATTACGTCAAAACTGTCGGGAACGGGGCGAAAGTGAAATTTGATTAAGAAAAGTGAACTGGATCGCTGGGGGAGAGACAGAAAAAGAGTAAGAGGGAGAGTGTGGGAGAGAGGAGGAGAAACGATTTGCGGCGGTCGATGATCGTACGCCGTGCACGAAACGAGAGTGAAATCCTATCGATCGGATGAGCGCGAAGCCTGATTAGAGAGGAATTAGAGACGCGAAGGGGCACCACGCGAAGAAGTGAAGAGGAAAAGGAACGTGCATATTGCAAAAAAATTATTCGAACATGAGACACCGATGGAAACAGAATTAACCCTTTGATCTATGATTTCTTTCTCAAATTAGTAATATTACATTGTCAATCATTTTTGTTAATAATGATATTTAATAATTGATAATAATAAACAATGCTTGTCAGTAATTTATCTGCTGAAAAATCGTTAATAGAGGAAGATATCACTACAATCAATCAATATTGTCACATTATATTATTGGTGATATTTAATATATTATATTTATTATATTATCATTCTATCCTTATTCCTATATTGTAATTATTCAAATATAATTAAAAAAAATTGGCGATGATCAGATATTTTTCATTGTGTCATATCATCGAAATAGATTGAAATCTTCACCATGAATCTGACATGATGCTCTAAGACAAGAGGTTAATTCCTTCCCATATGACTTCCTTTACAACTGCGCAAGTTGTAACTATTTGATCGTTAATTTAGTAGAAACAAAACATAATGCCATATGTGCTCTTCTTATGTCTACAGTTACTCTAAAGATTAAGAATTCACAGTAGAAAAATAATATTTCACCCTTTACCTATCTAGCCCGTGACATACACGGGAATTCATGGACGGCAATATGAAAACCTTATCAGTTTCTTTAAATTCAGAAGTATGATTTAGGTATTCTACAATACAAAACGGTTTTGTTGCTAAAAATTCAATGGCAACAATTTTATATTCATAAGTAAATATATGATAAGTGAATAACACAGTTAAGGGGTTAATTTTCATTGAAAGAAATAAAATGGCATTCACATTTACAAAAATATCTGTCACAAACTTCCAAGACAAGGGGTTAAGGAAGCGTCGACGCTGAGCAAAACCGAATGGGTTGATCGGAGGAGTGGGTGCAAGAGGCGCGGCGCGCGGTATTGGCAGCTGTTCGTCGGGTCCAGCCGCCATTACGGAAGGCCTCCTCTTCCCGGTATCACTGACCTCGTTGCTTCCAGTCGCAGAAGAGAAACATACCTCGAAACAGATTCACGGGCGTCTAGAAAGGCCCCGTTGTTTACGAATCCCAGCGACGACGATCGACCGGGACGGGAGGAGCGTCTCAGTGATCCTCGACTTCCGGTCGCAGCGCGGCAATCGCTCGGAATTTAAACAAAACGTCCGTCTACTTGTGAATGGCGAAATTGAAGCGATAATGGACGGTGAATGGTGGAAATAATAAATCGGAGGAACGTACTAATGATAGTCTCGGTGTTCTTCGTTTTTGGAATCTTTCTGAGTATTTATTTGAGAACCTGCAGTGATGATGTCTGAGGAATTTGGTTTTGTTTCTGGATATGAATAAATGTGACGCTAAGATTTATTATTAGAAAGGAATATTGTACATAATAAATGATACCTTGTGAACAATTTGGGAGACCCGAGAATTTTAATTAAGAGTAAGTACCTATTTAGAGGTACCAGTTTAGTTGAATAATAAAGGAACAAAATATTTATTTTGCAATGTATTTTTATGTAATGTAATATGGGTATCTAGTTTCTTATACTTTATCAATATTCAAAACTATTTATTATATTTTTGAGCAAATAAGGCGTCTATTTTAGGAAATATATTTGTATTTTGTTTCTGATTTGATAAACTTTTAAAATGTAAATTTACTACACAAGCATCGATGGACCATTGATTACAAAATGAAAATAATTAATGTAATACCGTTGAAATAACAGTTCAGTAATGATAAATGCTATGTGTGAAGAAATATCTACGTATTATTTCTAGTACTTAGTATTCTTTTAATATTCCATGGACTTTTAAAACGTTCTACTACTTTTACTGTAAAGTTTAAACATTCATAGCCCAAATACAATTTCCTTTTATTTGACAATTTAAAAATATTGCCACCACTCAGCCTTACTATTATAAGACAAGAAGTTCAATAATATATATGCTTAAAAACAACAAAAATACAAATTCCGTTTGAAACTGCCAAACGTTCATTTACAAATTTCAAAGCAACCAACCTATTCTTCCCACAAACAAATATAAGTGAACAAAAAGGAAATTATGACAGAAGTTACTTTCTATTGTGTGAGCTCAATCAGCAGACTTAAGCAGGAGCTAATTAGGACTACTCTGATAATTATACAACCATGTGCAAACAAGAATTCTCGCTTTCATAAAAAAAGCCGCTGCCCAATTGCACCCAAGATAATTACAGACTCAAAATCAAACATTCAATAATCGTTCAACAGTGGCACGATAGAACTCGACGAACGCTTCAACTTCGGCCATATGCTTTTCGCCGTCACTGAGCGTGTATACACACGCATACCTTTCATAATACGGTAATTACGTAAGAGATTACGGTATCCGCATTCGAGCAACTTTATGTGCAGTAAATCAGTGAACGCATAGCGCCCGTAGACCCGTACGCGTTATATAAATATTTTTCTATTATCAAGTCCCGTGAATATGCGATAAACGTTCAACAAGCAGGAAAAGAGGCTGGCTCCGATTAGAAATTTTTCAACGGTCAATCAGAGACAAGGAACGTTCACGTAGAAGCCGTAGGAACTCCGCGAACAGTGATTCACGGTAGCTTTATACACTTGGCGCGAAACCCATGTAAACAATCGACCGGGGTCAAAGTCAACGGTGTATAGATACGCGCGACGCTCCGGTAGGTAAACAGCAAAGAAAATCGGTACGAAATCTTTGAAAGTTTCTAATACACATCGAAACGATACGAATCATCTAAAGTGTATGACTCACCTGACGTTGGACGAACTGCGTTGCACGTCCCCGACGGGCCTACGGCCGATGTCCGTTTTCGTCTCCAGCGCGGCATCCTCTTCCCTTTGTCTCTCCTCTTCCGGCGGATGTAGCGGAATTATGATATAATCCGGCTCTTTTTTAGTCTGTTGCTCGTCGTTGTTCACCTTGCCGCGATTCACTTGGCCGTGCGAGTCACTGCTCTTTTTCTGCACCTCAGACCGCGGCACTTTCGATCTACCACTGAACCGTAGCCTGGAGAATCTCTGGAGGAAACCCCCTAGGCCACCTTTCTTTCTTTCCTCTTTCACCACCGCGGTGGTACCTGTGTTAGCGTCCACCACCATGTTCCTCTGGTACCTGGTAGCGTCTTTCTTAGGCGACACTACCGATACGACGGACCGTTTCGCGGTCGCCGCCGGCGACGACATCCTCGCGTCTTCTACCCTGACCGGCGCGGCCGTAGTTGCCGCCGCGTTCTCCTCGTGACGTTTGTCGCGATCACCGCGATGATTCGTATCAACTACCACGGCCGCCACTGGATTCCCACTCCGTTCTCCGGTCTCCAGACCGTCGGTATTGCTGCTACCGCCGGGTGGGGGGGAGCGAGCACCGTGGACAGCGTGTCCCCTCGCTGCTTCTGCCGCTGCCGCCACCTCCAGTGCGTTCTCTGTCCTTTTCCTTTCTTCGATAATCTCCTCCACCACCGTCGATGACTCCTCCTCGTCTGATTCAACCATCTTCGCGGAAACCTCTTTCTCCGCGGCGGCCTGCTTTTCCACCACGACCCTCCAAAGTCGCTGTTCCCCGGCATTCATCTCCAACGCTGAGTCGACGACGCTTCCGTCGGCCGCGACTTCCGGCGACCGACCGTCTACCTCCTCATCCTCTTTCTCCTCGTCCTGCTCCTCCTGCTGACGCGTACGTTTCATGTTCTCCGGGTAAAAATCTCCGATGTATGATTTCTTTAAACTAATGTTGTCTGCGGGTTGAGGATCATTATAGTGGGTTGTCTGGTCTAAGGTTCCCGTGTTTCTTCGTTCAGGGGTTTGGTCCCGAGATTCCCAGGCGGTTGGTTCTTTACGTAAGCCCCCCTCGAGGCTGGAAGTTCCTATGGGTTTGGTTTCCAAGCAGGGATAATCTATCTCGTCGGCTACTGCGGGATGCCCACTACGATCTTCTCCACAGGCTGAAAATGGATCCGAGTTTTTTTTTACCTGGCTGAATAGAGACTCTTCCTCTTGCTTTTTCAACCGTTCACCGAGCTGGTTAATCGGTACCCTGGTGAACGGACCCTTCGAAAATTGGGAGAATATGTCTTCAGTGGATTTAGAGTATTTCCTAGTGTCTTGATAAGGCTCGTGGCTGTGCAGATTTGAAGTTGAGCTGCTGCTCATATGATGCACCATGTCGGTGACCGTCCTAATTCGCGGTGATCGCGCAGTGGCGTGCTCCTCCAATTCATCGCACGCGTCCATCCGCTGGAAAGCACCCCTGGATGACTGCAACGCATTTATGTAGTCGCACTGTTGGGCCAGCTCATAACTGGCATTGTTCAATATGCGTCTCCTGTTACCGAAAGCACTTCTAGGCGATTTCGGACTGGATTCACTATCGCTAGCACCTTCTTTGCGTACACGGTTGGACCGGAAATTTTTCTCGTCGATTTCAAATTGTTGGGCCAACTCGTAACTAGCATTATTCTTCACTCGGTGGGTCCGCAGTCTGCCGGACAACGTTCTCTGGACACCGTCCAAATTCTTGCCGTTCACCATGGTTGCCTCCTCAACCTCGCGCTTGAACTGCTTGATTGCCTCACCCACTGCACCGATGTCGTTCTCCATGGCCATCGCCATGTCCAGTACACAGTTACCGCGATCCTGAGTCTTCACCGTTGAAGTCACTTGCTTCTTTTCTCGGGGATTCGGGCAATGATCGCCTAAGCACTCGTTTTCTTCCAGATCTTGTAAATTCTCCTCCATTTTCTCGTGGTCCAACTTGCCGTCTACTAGCACGTGTTGAGGCGCCTGCGTCCTCACCGAGCTTGTCAAAGAACTTTTCAACTGCGCTGTTCCTACGGTGTCTTCATCGCTGCCGTTCTGCCGGATATCCTCCACGGCCTCCAGCCGCTTCTTCTCGTGTATCTTGGTGACCTCCGCCATTTCGTGATCGTCCGTGCTCACTTCCGGACAACCGGAATCATCGTACGTGTACGAGCCGCAGAGATTAAGGTCGACGGGCACGCTTGCAACCCTAGTGTAGTTCTCGAATAAGTTTGACGTGGAGACGAAGGAGGTTGCCCTTGATGAGGTACGCGCGACCAACGAGCGTGGACCGTGTGCGGATTCGTCGACGCTGCTAGGCAGACTGGGCGCGCTTTGAGATTTATCCGTGAATCTAAAATTAAAGCACTCCTCCTTGCTCCACCCTTGACGGTGGTGCTGGTGCTGCCGCTGGTGCTCGCGATGCTCATACTCGTGATACTGACTCGGCGACGACTGCTGTTTCTGTTGATGATGATGGTGATGGTGGTGATGATGATGGTGATGATGATGATGCTCGGCTACCATGCCGCCGCGACCGTGCGCCATGCCCCCGGCTATATTTAAACGGGTCTGCAGCAGCCGAAACGAACCCGACACCGCCGCCTGGCCGGACTTTAGATCCAACAGAGCGTCTCTCTTCGACTCGATGCCGATCTCCCGTAGATCGATCGTGTTCCTATAGTCGACGGAAGTGGCGTAGTTGCAGCTAGAATCCCCAAACACCATCAATCGGTCCTCGATCTCCGAGCACGCGCGGGTGTCCTTCAGCAGACGGTCCTCGTCGTCATCGAGGTCCTCATCGTCTTCGTCATCCTCGTACTCATCGTCCTCGTGCCAGAAATCCCTGATTCCGGCCGACAAGAATGATTACTTTGTTTTGTGTTTGGCAGACAAAGGATGGATAAATCGGATAACAAGAAGAACGAAAGGATAAAAGTGAAGAGTTTGCGTTCATGTATAAGGGAGATGATTGGGAGATATTGAAGCATGGGGGAAGGTTAAATGTATTTTTGGAGGAATTCTTGAATATAGACATTTTTTGTACATTATATATTTTTTAAGTTTTTCGTAATTTCTTTTTTGTCGTCTCTTTTGCATTTAAAATCAATTTTCTTTAAAGCAAAATAACCTATGAATGTGTTTAATTGCTATTTTTTACATTCATTTTTTAATCAAGTAAAAAATTTCGATGAAAACCACAGATCAGAATAATCAAAGTGATTCCGTATTTACGCAGCATTCACTAGGCTTAAAAACTATATGAATGAATTCTCTGAATATTACAAAGAGGGTCGCAGTCATTCGTATGTTTCAATGTAATTCCAAATAAAAATGATAAAATGATCTTTTAGAAAGGTAACCATAATAGGATAATTCTCAACAACCCACAAATGTAATTTCACATCTCGTCGAAATTAAAAGTAAAAGTCAAGGAGGTCTATTCAGGGTCGTGATTGCGATAACTTGGCCAAAAAACGAGGGTCGTATAGCAAGCCTTGATTCTGACAGTCGTTGCCAAGGAAATTTAAAGACCTCTGTTCGACGGGCACCAAATCTCATTTATCTTTCGCGTTAGTGTTTGATCAACAAAGAAAAAACGCCCTAACTGTCGATAATTAAATATTTATGAACCAATTGTATTACTCATCCCTCAGAAATCTCATAAGGAAAATCCAGGCTCTGACAAATCAACGTTGTATTTGTCTGCCAACAATCACAACTACCGTTACTGTCGGCACATTGTAATCACTGCGATCTAAAATATTACTTCAAACAGTAGACAGCAAATAGTCTGTTCCGTTCTAAACCATATGAACTTCGAACACAAAATATTTTACTGGTTACGAGGTGTTTTAAAAGCAATACATAAAAATAACATTTTACTCGAAGGATAGCAAGACTATTTTTGGATTTGTTTTGAAATGTGTTTGTTCAATTTCGTTGGATCGATTCCGTGTTCACGAGTGAGTAGCAGTAGTAGTTTCGTTGACATGATGAATTTAAAATTTCATATTTGAAAGTACCAAAGCCTTTACAATATTAAGTTTTAGCAATTTGTACTGAAGATCGATTAAAATAATATTTTATCTTCATAGACAATATTGAATCTACTATTTCTTTAAACTGTAAGTTTTGAGTTCTAACATACATAAATACGTTCGGATGTGTTCAATACTTTTTTTATATATCAACAAAGTACAAATTTATACGTAATTTTTAGTATTATTTTTGTCAATCTCCTATTTTAACATTAAAATTACTAGATGGCTCAAAACTACACATTTCGATTTTCATTTTCTTCTTTTACAATTATTAAAAAGGTATTATACATTTTTCTAAAAAATTATCAAATAAATTCATTCATTAATATGCATTTTAGAACATAATTCAATCGAAATCTGAATGATTGTACTCTTAGAATTCGTATTACAAAAAAGATACAAACCCAATTTAACTGTTCAATACTTCTAACATTAAGTTCATAAAATTCCCAATTTCATACCTAAATTCTCAGCTCAATTAAAACGTGTTCACACCCACGACTAAACTTACGGTACAACCCAATGAATCTATGTACAACAAATATTAATAACGGAGCATTGCGACTGTGAACGCAAAACAAATGAATGAAAATTGTACCTTGGACAATGACCATTTCGTCGTATCCTCGACAGGTCCGAGTTACGTTTCAGGTACAAAGGTGCGAATCCGTTGGTTAGCCCGCTGGGCCCGAACTCGTCGTCTTTCTGGCAAGTATCCAGACTCTCAAAGCTGCGATAAGGTCGGAGCCGTGAGAAATGATCCACATTTCCGAAACCGTTCGGCAGGACTTTCTCGTAGTCCTGCTCAAGGCTATCCGGGGATGTATTTTCGGGATGAGAAGCATTCGATCTGTTCGAATATTCCAGTGAGTCAAAGCTGTAGCTGGAAGGCGACAGGGTGGCGCAGGTTCTCTCCAAAGATTCAAACTGCAGAAGAGAGCTTGATCTCGACGATGCAGAGGATCTTGAAGACCTGGGCGACGGTGGATAATCCTCAAACGTCACCTGGTGATCGCGATCACTGGTACCATTGTTCCTTCGTCGTCTCTTCTTCGGTACAACGGAATTGCACTCACTACCGCTACCATCTGAAACAGAATTTGAAAGAAATAGGTGGTTATTGGAGGTGATATACTTTTAGACTTTCTTGGTTGATGATAAACTGATATAGAAAAACATTTAAATAAATTAATTTAGTCTTAATGAAAAATTCTATGGCAGAATCAAGTTTGTAAGAATTCCTTGTTTATTCATGTTTATAAGTATAAAATTAAGTACTATATAGGACAAAAAGGAATTTGTTCTAATCGTTTAGACTTATCTTATTTCTCTAGCCATATAAATGGCAAACTTTTCCCAACGTCTTTATAAAATAATTTAGTTTCCGTAATTACGATTTGTCATTTATAATTAGCTAAGTATTGTAATGCACTAAGATATCGTTTCGCACTGCTCATAAAAATCTTCGCTCCCCACCAATTACACAGAGGCGTAGAAAACTATTCTAATCCCCCATTTGCTTAACGTTTGCAAGGTTGCATCCTTCATTTTGTTCCGGTGAATCCGAATTATCTATCAATCTTCACTTGTTCAAGAGAAGCAAGAGCACAAAAGAACGAAAGATATGACCGGGGTTGTAAGAAGAAAATTCAAGTGGGCTTTATAAATTAAGATCGCTAACGATGTGATTACAATATCGTGCTCGAGAGGAACACGCTGGAAATGTGTCATTCGGATCGAGTGGCGTTATCGCCACGACTCGTGTCGTCGATCACGTGTCGACCGACGGTCACGAAGCCGGCAGGCAACCGGTGACCGCATAACGCCGTAAGCGCTGCTTCCGGTTGAATGAACCACGGCTTCCTGACAAACGGTGGGGGCCAGCAGCGACCGCGTAAACTTGGTAGCGGGCGGCGGGAACGCGAGGATTGCCCGCGAAGACCCACTTCCGTGACTCGACTTCGTAAACTGGGCCGAGATCTTCAAACTTAACGCGACTTTTCGTCGAGTTTCTAATACCGTAAGGAATGATAACGCGACACGGTCGGACACTTCGGTTGATTATTTAGGGAGTCATCCAGCAGTCCAGACAGGAAATCCGTGCTACAATGTCGTTGCACGCGTCGCTTGACAAAACCATCGCAGAATATAGTTAACGGATTAAGTTTTATATATATAATTTAATTATATTATTTGTAGTTACATTATATTTATATGTAGTTTATATTTGGGTATATATTCACTAATACCAATGCGATTTAGTAATGTAATAATTACCACAATTAAATAATATTAGAATGATCAATCAGGCTCGATTCAACAGTACGTTCCACAAAAGTAAACATTGAGGATAATTAGGGGAAAAAACAATTTAATCAAAGTTTCTATTGTTCGCCGAGAAACAGTATTAAATTAAACATCAACGCGTTTGGAATTCCTCGCGAGTTGAACAAGAGTAATTGAATTCACTCCGCAACGCGTTCCCCTATCAGTTTATTTTTGCATGAACACATGCACGTGGAATTCAACGGCTAGTCCATGGTAATCCTATATGAATCACGTTGAAGGTGATCTAATATTAGATGCAACGGAAGAGAATCGCGTGTATGTTCGTCTCACGGAGAAACAATAAGACGTTTCCAACGTTCAATTTTTCGGAAAAAAAGTTGTAATTTCACGCGCTCGCTGCTATTTCACAATAACCAGAGTGTGGATTTTTATGCATTTATGGGAAACTTGAGAGTACAAACTTGCACAAAATGCACAAGGTGCAAAAACATATAAAAAAGATACGCAAAATGTAATGTTTTCATATTATTTATTAGAAAAAAAACTTTTTTTTATCGTAATTCTATTCTAAAGTTAATTTTTTTGAAGTTATAGCGTAAATACAAATATTGGACACTTTCTAGCCAGTCTTTGTACCAAAGATAATTTACTGTGGACTATTGTATTTAAATTTGTTTCAATTCATTGAAGTGCAAAATTAATAAAAAGTAAGAATCGTTACGCAAACTTTCTAATAAGAAACTAATAATACTATTTACTTGTATTATTCATATCTGATGATAATAAAAAAGATGGTGCGATCTGTATGAAATTATTATCTACATAAAAGTTTCACGGTAACGAGTAGATGTAAAAAAATCATTCAGTTTATTAATTATTGATTCAGAAAAAGAATTTAAATCGCAAATGAATCATAATTGCAACATAAGCAGGGAGAAATTTGCTTACATAACTGTTCAAAGGAAAAATCATCATGAATAAACTTGTATAATAAGAATAATGCATCTTCATTGCAGTGTTACAAAACTAGAGTGTAGTTTTACAAAGCAATAAAAGGTACACTAATAGGTAACTTTGTCAGTGTATAGGAATGCCACAACACAATATTATTCTTAACTCAACGGAATCTCTGTTTTTTACTTACTTGAAACGGTAAATTAGACAATAATTATTTTTGGAAAAAATGTAATCTTGAACCCTCAGAAATTCTTTAAAATCTTTAGTTTAGTATTAGTTGATATTAGGTTAGTAATTCAGTCATTTAGTTGTATAATGTTGACATTTATTAATAAAACTCTTCCAGTGGATTGACATCATAAGAACAAATAATAATGAAAGTATTGGTAGTAATATGATAGTTGTAACTATTTTTATCTCATGTCATGTAACTTCATAATATAGAACACGTTTATCCATAACACCTATATTTTTAATGATAATAGTTAAAATGAGTGATAGAAAGTACAAACTTTCCTATTTCAGAGATTAATGATAAAAGATCACACAGAATGTATGGGAAAGCCTTAATTGCACTAAAAGGTGGTAATAAATTCATTCAAGTAAATTAGAATACCTAAGATTAATTGCTAAGTATCCTGAATAGGTTTGAACTCAACCACCAATTAAGGTAGACAGAAGTTTCATTAAAAAAAGTGGCGAGAAAGACCTATAAGCTTATTTTATTAATGTACTCGATAAATAGCTTGAGATAAGATTCTTATCTAATTACTGTAATAAGTTGTTTGACACTACGTTTTCCATGATCGTCATTGTTCTTGAATGATTCATTTAAAATTCATCGAAAATAAGTGCTTAGTATGTAACTCATTCACTATCCCGTACAAATTCAAGACCTGTATAAAATAAAACTGATATAATAAAAAATAACCTGCTTTATTTGTTGAAAAATAAAAATTTTAGTATGTGAAAAGTATAAGAGAAAACTTTTTTTAAGTGCGGTGAAAAAATAATTTTACAAACTCCACATTTCAAGTAAACAATTTGAAACATTTTGTTTCCTTCGTATCATTTTAAAATTTTCTATACAATGTGTATTGAAAACAGAATAATATTAAATGAAAATATAATTATATATCATAATTTTTTCCTTAATTAGATAAAAATTGCTCTACATACTAGAATTCACTATAATAATGTAATTAATACAATAAATATATAATTAAAAAAACTGGCAAATTTTTGCACACAATTTACAAAAAAAAATTCAAGTTGATAAAGAACAAATCTGTTAAAGCGATTAATGTGAACTGCTATACAAACAGGACGTGAGTGTTATCTTGAACTAACACGCATTGCAAGAGAGAGCGCTACAATACCGAAGTGTGGAGTCGCCGCCTGGTGAACAGCAACCAAACATGCTCGCTCGTCAAAGTGATCAAATACTCGAAGGAAACTACGTATGTCGCGTTCACACGAAAGAACAATCTTGCAATGTAATAATAATAATAATAATAACAACAACAACAATAATAATAAAAGATTATATCAAATGTAAGTTTCCCTTATATAGTACGATTTTATTAAGTTTTATTAAGCTTATGTAAATTATTAAAAGTACAGTGGGTCCCGGTTAATCGGAACACATGGCGTACGTACTACTTTGTTTCAATAAAACGAATTTCAACAAATAAAGCCTGAATAAAGCGAATAAAAGAAGAAACGATTTATTTAAATATGTATGTATATAATTTATTAGAAAAAAGTGAATATTAACACATTTTCATCCGAAAGTGGAGGTGACGATCGTCGTGTGTGGAATACTCCGCTTACACATGCAAATGGATTAATTATTATCTTCATTAACACTGGATTTGCCAGGCGTATCATTTTGATCCATTTTCAACTTTGTGAGAGAAATTACAGAAACCGTTTACATTTTTTTTCTGTCACTTGTGCTGACTTTTATCCATATATCTCATAATTTCATTTATAAGATCATTGTGTATAATTATGTCGCTTTTTAAGTTGTTTTTTTCAAGAAAGTGTATGATTTTGTTGATGGGTCAAATTGATCTGTGTCGATAGAACTAGGCATATAAAAATGTGGGTAAACCTAATGTTAATATTATTTTTAATATTTATTTTATATCGATATACGTATATTTATTATTATTATATATTAAATTTCTAATGTTTCGTATTAATATATTATTTTTTTAATATTTATTTATTAATATTAATATTATTTCACAGTTAGTTAGCTTCAACAGCGATCATAGTGTATACTTATTTACATTCGTCTAATATTTCCACTTGGTGACCGAACGTCTGCAAACATTGATCTTAGAATAGTTACAGATGACTTATTTTCTCATCGATCGCTGTATATGCATCGAATATTGTATAACTTTTAGTACGTCTGAAATGACCGCTATATTGTACGCGATAGACATTTCGGTACTATACAAAATCGATCTATTTGGGGGTTGGATAATAAGATTGACGTTTGCCAGATTATTTGCGGGAAACTCCGTTCGCTAAGTACGAACTCGTTTCACGCACCTTGCCGCGTAATATAACACGTGGCAGCCAGCCTATGTTCGGAATTGTTGCCAAATTGACAACCGTCGGTCTGGTCCAACAGACCTGGTATTTTCGCACCTATTCCTGGCTTACTCTGAACACGTAACGATCGGCCGAATAAATTACGCGACGGTCGACAGAAAGTTCGACACCAGAGCCTTACACGTCGTTAACCAAGGGGACACAAAAAAATAGAGTTACAAACAAAAAGATAAATAATAATAACAAAATTTCTTTCAGAATTTCTAATATAAATGAACACATTGTTAACGCATGATGCTAATCGGCGTCTTTCAGTTCTCAAACATTGTTGATAGAAATTCCCATCCTTCACAGATACCGGAGATATTAATTGAAAATGTAAATAATAATTGATAAAGTTATTTAAGAAATTTTATTTCAGCACTAAATCTGTTTCGTAAAATAGTTAGACTTCTTTTGGACGAATAAAAAGAAACAAATTTTACTTTCATATAACTTCTGTGAGTTTTCTTATCAATCCTTTATGACGAAATGTTTGCAACCTGCGAACACCTAATGTTTCCATTATTTCTCGAATCTGCAATGTGATTTTAATTTGAAAGCACACTTTAATTATCTTAAAAAGTATTATTATCTCGAGACAACCAATGAATTCAAACTATTAAAGTGCATATTCATTACATCTAGAGAACAATATTTTGAACCTTTTTTAACTACTTTGGAAGAGACAGCTATGTGCCACAATGGGTTAAAAGATCAATTATACTATACCAAACATTTGGCATTAACATTATTACTTGTGTAGTAAAGTACGTCACTGACGAGATGGCAGGCTACCCACGAGCGATCAGGACCGAGCGGCAAGACGACTCTTCCACTCACAATGTTTGGGCCGCCTCGATCTTCAATGCATGGTTCTTATTGGCGCGCGGTAATACCAAAGGACGGGAGCGAAACTGAGGGCTACGGAGTAAGATGTAACGATAGAGAAAAAAATTGACGGCACTATGGACTTTGATCTCTATCGTTACATCTCACTCAGTCACATTTAGTCCCGCTTCCCTCCTGTGTTATTTTCCGCTCGCAAATAACGACCATTTAAACCTTAGACTGACGCTATGTTCGGAAGAGGCAAACGGTATATATAACTGCCGATCAAAAGTTTGAAACTACTTGATATGTAACAACACAAATTAAAAATTATATATCTTATAAATATAAGAAATAAAATAACAAAAATGTCCATGTTCCTTATCATACACAAAAATTCTCCGATAAAAGTTGCTTACATAAAATGAAAATTTCTCTTTTAACCGATCTATTGTTCCCAACAAATGTGTATATATACAACAAATAACATAGGACTAATTATAGTAGTCTTTCTCTATAAATAAAAGAAAACAACGTCGCGCTCTAACAGTTAAAGCAATGGATTAATGACGATTAATGCCGACTAACTTACCTGCCGATCTCTGCTTCGCCCGAATGTGGATTACGCTCTCGGTCTCTGAATCCGAGCCAACCCAATACGTTGTACCACTCCGATCAGAATCACTTTGTAGATCGTCGGAGGTCTCTTCTAAAATCGTCTCTAAAAAGTCGACTTGCTGCACTAGCACCGTATCTGAAAATCAATTCGAAACATTATTAAAATCACACATGATCAATCTGTTCCGGAAAAATTGTGACGATTTAGAATTGACTATTTCTCGTAAAATTTCCTAAAAAATATATTATCAAACAATTCTAAGCTACTTGTAAGTACACAAGGCGGTTTTAACATCCTTAGTTTTGTTTTCTACATTTTTCTTACGAATAGATGAATTTATTATTAAGTTTCATTCAGAAATGTGCTCTTTTAGCTTGTGAGTTGATGGAGCTAACGTGAAAGCTGTACTGTATGTAATACGCAATTTTTTTGCTGTACAAATTCACTTTAAGGCTATAATTACATGAGCGTTTTATACGCAGTGTAAATTTTTCTGGAGGAATAGAAATGTAAAGCTCTCTTATATCAATATATGATTTAATAGATAGAAAGAAATAAAGCAATACGAGAAGCAACAAAATTTATATCGAAACCGTTCAACGCAAATACAGGATAGCTTGACTTTTACACATATCTTTCATAGTAACATACTTGGCGAGATTAAGGAAATACTTATTTTTTTAGTAAAACATTGTCGATGTTCAAGTTATCGCAACTTCTTGAAAGGAAATCGTAGGATATTCCCACTGGGCTCAGAATTAAGGAGGCAAGGAGACTTTCAGCCACGATATTTCGGCCGCCGTGATTTTCGACGCATAGTGGCAGAACAAAACTGGCAGCACTACGAACTTTGATCTCTATTGTTACGTCTCACTCTGTCGCATACCATTTTCTTCCGTTCTTTGTTATTGCCGTGCGGCCAATGACGACCACGTGACGAAAACCGAGGCGGCCCAAACATCGTAAGTGGAAGAGTCCCCTTGCCTCCCTGACTTCACGCCGCGAGGAGTAACCGCCAGCACTTCTCAGCCGGAGAGTACGTGACCGCGCTGCGTCGAAGCTACTTGAATATGTGTGAGCTTGATAATGCTGTAGTCGTTGCGTGCGGCGTGTGAGCACTCCTTAGACCAATAGGTTTCCTGCCCTGGCTGCTGGCTATGACGCAGCATGTGAATTGAATGTGATCGTTGAATCCAAGCGTTGAATCAGTGTTCTATGTGAGCGTTGTTAAGAGACACTTCCGCTTAGGATTCGATAACTAATTTAATTTCCCGGCACTGAAAGATCCGGATCGAAGGACCAAAATGTTTTTTTGTAAACTTTTCTGAATACTCGTTTAAGTAATAAGGATGATTAGGGATGTTTATAAACAACACTGAGACGTAAAATGGACCGTATATTTTGATACGGTGTTTACAATGTTCGCCCCCAGAAAATAAAAAGAAGCTCTTTGGCTAAATGATGATCCCTTAATATCGAAAAATAGGATACCGCCAGCACACCAATCAGAACGCAGTATGTCGTTCCGAGCACGTTACTGACGCGCCGGCGCTACTATAACCTTCGAACTACAGTAATGTTCGTTTAAATTCCACATTTCGGGTCCCAGCAGTGAAATTTAACCGAGCAGAAAAACCAAGCGGTAGCTATTTGCTTACAGAATTGAGTTGAGCACAGTCTGACAGTGGCAGAGATTCGGTATAATGAACGAAATCGAGATCGATTGTTCGTATTCATTTTCTGTGCCTGTCTACTGGGATCCCGTTACACTGAGTTCGAGGGGGAAGAGTAGGAATGGTGCAGTAGAATTTAAGCGAGCATCACTGTAACTGTCTCCCAAGAGCGATCTGTTTCTCACTTGGCACTGCGACGCAACATAGAACATAGTAAAAGGAGGAAAATTATTTTTACGGAATATATTAATTATTTATTAATTATAGAATTAATAATATAGCCTCTCAATATGTTACAGAGAATTGTAACATTTATGTGTTAATGATAATAAAGTATCATTATTATGGGTGGAAGAATTAAAACTAGCTTTGGTTGGTAAAGTTGTGATAGATGAGAGGACAAATAACTGATTCATAATATCTTCATCTGTATCTATTATCCATTTATCAATTTTCTAGTTATATTTCATTCTGAACTATGGCCCAAAATACATAAAAGATAAAAAGCCGTACTCATTCCAAACATTCATCCGCTGATACAATATATTTCAAATTGTAACGAATGCACTGATAGTATATCACGTGATAGACGTCGGTTGGTACAACAACGAATTTATGTACTGCAACTAAACTGAATATCTCCTACGATCGCGGCCTGATGAAGGTATGAACCTGGTGTTAGACGTCGGGTAGGGTAAGTCGAGCAGAGATAGCCCACTTTTTTACAAAGAAACAGTGTATCATAGATATCATTAACACCTTAAGAAAAAAGAATACATTTAGAAAGTAAATATATGTAAAAACAATAGTTAAATAGGCTTCTGTGCAAAATTCACTATACCAGTGAAAATAATTGAAAATATGGATATTTGACAATCCAATTGTTACGATAAAATACTTCGAAACTTTTCTACCGTGTGACTTTATTTTCTGTGCATCTCATTCGAAATAAACACATTGGTTTTGTCTTATAACCGAATGAATCATGTTAAAAGCAAAAAAAGCCAGACGTATACTTTCGACCGACGGTCAGAATAATAACAGACAGTAAACAACTCCATTTCAGTTGATCTTATCTACATTGTTAATGCAAATCAACATTTTATCGGTTAAAACGTTCCAATGATACAGCGCATCTCTAATTATGTAACTATACATTACAAAAACAGTGCTAATAAACAATTCGACAGCTACATTAATAAATGTATGAACAAACGTATGTTAGTTTAGAGTTAGTAATAATGGTATATATAATTTAATAAAGCAAACAATAATATGATTACAGATGGCTCAAATTTTATGGTATCTGTTGTGGTTAAAAGATATTGATTACATCGAGACTATTCTGTACGTGCTTAGAAAGAAATATTAACAGATATTGTTTTTGCACGTCTATCACTACATCTCAACAGTACTGATGACTTGGGCAAGTGTAAAACACTTTCCCAACGGACATACCGCGACGATGGGCTTGGTGAAGTCCGCAATACACGTGATGATGTACACCTATTATTTGCAGTCTTCCTATGGTCCAGAAATGCAGAAACTTCTGGGATCAATTAAACCTGCGATTATCGCAGCTCAAATGGCAAGTAGATAAAGTACTTCGCAGTAAAATTTCATTTTATTAAAATCAAAAGAGGCTATCAGATATTACATGCTTCACGCAGATCACAAATAACGATAGTCACATGTCACATTATTATTATTATTAATACTTGCCTGCCTAAAAATTCCGACTGACCGAAGAAGCCTAATGGCACGTCATTAAAACGTAAATTAATAACTTATTTAAACCAAAAAACTGTTGGCTATTGAAAACCTAGGTACAACCGTTCGGTCCCAGTTGCACCGCAAATGTCTATATTTTAGTCACCCGAAATCGCAGGTATGTCCGTGACGTCTGGGAAATTCCGAAGACAAACCATAAAATTCTCCCTCTTTCGACTACAACTTACATCGAGTGCAACCCTCAATTTCGTCGTCGGGACGAATTAGCGTTACCCAAAATTCCTCCCACTACATTGAATTCATTGGACTAGCGCCCCTCTTTTTTCGCATAAGTTTTCTTTTTAGACAACTCTACAAATTCCAGACAGATAAAATCAAACCATTAAACAGAAAGTTTGTCACCCCGATCCGTCTCCGAAAGTTTGTAACGAATAAATATACTTATTTGGTTGATAAATAACTTCTATTTAAATTCTCACCGGACCGCCGTTAAACTAAATGTCGAGATATAACAGCGTGTATTAAGTTCTTACGAGACAGTTTTAATGTCAACAAATTTTAAGAATGCTCAAAAAATGTATTTTCTTATTTTTAGTAATAAACACATAAGTGTCTTGTTTATTAAATATTACCGCTTTTTTTGTAAAAATAACAATTGCAAAACAATCTTATAATAAATAAACGATCATAAGGATAAAATAATTATTCAGTGCCGTCGCTATTATGTGTTAATAATTCGTCATCTAGATGACCAGCCAGGATCAATTATGTATTTTCCTCATACCGACCCAAATCTACAAACAAAGTCCCACAAATGCATGTATAATTGTTTATTGAATAATATAATAATATTTTCCCTTTGCTGCTTTCAACTGCTTCTTTCTTCACTGCCCAATAATATTCAATAATATTGTTTATTGATTCAATGGTATAATGGTTTGAGACATAAAAGGTGTACAAGGTAGGGAGGTCGCTTTATGTGTTCGTTTTGTATTTATATTTATGTAATTCAGCCAAGAGGGAACGTGGAAAACTTCATTTACAGCTGTTTTATTCAGCTAACAGCACTGTTTATTCATAAAAATAAGAAAATACATTTTCTGAAGATTCTTATAACGTTTTTAATGTAAAACTGTTATGTAAAAAATTAATACTCACGTTATATGTAATCGTCGTGTGACTATCTCATGTATGACTTTTTTCCATTTTTCGATAAATCCTTTGATGCCATTTCCAAAAAAGTATGCTGGCTTTCTATTAAAAAATTCTTAAGAAACGACATTATTTATGCGATACCCTTACAGAAAATAATGTGTAAACACGTATTATTCACCTTTCACGTTACGACCGCCGGTTTGTGGATTAAAAGTGTACAAGAGCAAGGGGAGATGTCCACTCGCGGCATTCGGCTCGATAGTTATAACAGCTCAGGTTCGGCACGTCTTTGTTATTGGCCGTCTGAGTTCTTCGTCCCGCGACTCGGCCATCGAGAACGTTGTTGGCGACACTATAAACTTTAATCTCTATCGTTACATCTCAGTCCGTCGCACTCAGTGTCTCGCTTTTGTCCTTTGTTACTGCCGCGCTGCCAATAACGATCATGCATCGAAAACTGAGGTGGTCCGAACATTGTGAGTGAAAGAGTCGTCTTGCCGCTCCGACTTCTCCGCTCATGGGTAGTCTGACATCTCATCAGAGTTGCACTATACCTTGTGTACAGTGCGTTACTAA